AGTCACATACAGTAGAAGACTTGACAGATTTGGGTCTATCCTGCCTCTTGTAATATACACAGTGATGACTTGAAGGCTTGTCATCTCCGATAAGTCATTCATAAACATGATGACTGATTAAAGGAGGTGTGCGTGCCGCCTCACTGTGCAAATCCACAATGAAAAGATATCATGCTTTCACAGATTCCTTTTATCTCCAAAGATAAAGCCTTAGTGTCCTTGGCCTTTATAATGATAGTAGTAGCATTAACATTTATTATCCTGTCTTCCTTTAAAAATTGTATAATAAGGTAAGACAAAGAAGTGAAAGAAACTGTCTGAAGACTCAAGGAAGTCATTTATTGAGTCGGGAGCTACAAGCCCTACAGATTGTGATGGAAAAGCATGAGCAAATATCATCAACCCCTTTATTACAGTATCAGTGAAACCTTGTATTGAATAATTAAAACAAGATAAATAGAGAAGTGTGGTTCTAGCTATCGGGGGTATGTAACATGGATGATGAATAAGTCTTAACCCAGGAGCAACTAAGCCATTACCTTTCCTCAAGCCAAAAGAGACCAAAGGGGGACATAAAAATAAATTAGGCCAGAAGACATATTCTGGATATTTATAATTTTCTAGGTTTTATATATTTAAAAAGACATTTTGAAACTGTACAAAGCAAAGTAGTGGAACACCCAGTGTACAATCATATTTATAGTGTCCCTGCCAATCCTTCTCTAAGCTCTTGGCATCCTGAGCCTGGGACATATAGACACTGGGATCCCACATACACCTGCTCCATTTTGTAATACCAGATAATATGCTAAGCCATCCTGCCCTTATAATCAAGTAATCAGGATCAGAAGAGTATAACTGCATAAAATGCCAAAGAAACTCCTGAATTAGTTGTATTATAGGGATCTCTATTAACTAAATTCTGTCTAGCCAGTACCCTTTACATGCGTCTTGCTAACCTGTTCTGGTCTACTTCCCACTCTTGTCTCTGGATGCCATCCCTCTGAGACAGTCACAGTTATACCCTGTGATACATTGAATCATTTCTACAAAGACATCCTAAAATCCTCATGTAACCATTTGGAAATGGAGAGAATGCAAATATAATAGTCATGATGAGATCATTCTAGAGTAAGGTGGTTCTATCCAATATGGCTGCATCTCTTTCACAAAAGAAAGCAAAGACACCTCAAACAACAAAGAAAGTGGCTATGTGGTTTTAGAGGCAGATACTGGGGTGATGTGTCTTCAAGCTAAGGAAGAAGGAATGCTGGTGCAGCTCAGAAAATCCAAGGGAAGTGAAGCTCTCCTCTGAGATATCAGAAACAGCACAGCCCAGAAGCCGTCTAGGTTTCAGGTTTCTGGATATCAGAGATGAGAAGCAGACTGTTCTTTGTCAGGGCACTTCTGAGAAGAAAACTCATCTCTGTAGATCACACATCATGGGCCTCTGTAACCGCACAACACACTTTCCCTTAGGCCCACCAGGAGAAGTTGCTATTTTCTCATGAAAACTATTCATAATCTTTGAATTAAAAACATACCCAAAGAAAATACGTGATAGTTTGCTATAATAAAAGCTTTATTCAAAAGTGACTAAGCCCTCCATGGCCACCAACACACCAAGAAGAGAGAAGACTGCCCCAGTCTTGGCTTCCTGTTACTATATGGAGCCATTACTCCCATGAAACCTCAGCTTCCTTTGTTTCTCACTCTCTCCATGTTCTGCCTCAGCACCCACAATTCCTCCTTATCTATGATTTTATGAGAATGGCCTTGAGGGTTGGCATTTTGGTTCCTAATAGCTAGATCAAGGTTCCTGCTGCTCTTCAACACAAAAGATCTCTATCGGTGTCTGAAGCACAGTGTGTCTTGACCAAACTCATGCTCCCCACTCCACACCAATCTTCCCCCTATGGTTCTGTGACTGGAATGGCCTTCCCTGAACCACCCAGCTACAGAATTTTGTGGTCAACTATAACTTGTTTTCTGACCTTCAAGATCTACATTTAATCATTTACTTAGTTCCATAAACTCAATCTCAGAAATGTCTCTGGTGTCTGTTTACTTTTCTTTTTCTACTATCACAGCTTCATTTTAAACCAAGACTGATACTGTTGAGACCCTTTGTGTATTCTTCCACCCTTCACTTATGGATAGATCCTGATGGATTTCCTCAGTCCTCAAAAGTTTTGGACATTATCTAGATAAATAAATATCTTCTGACTTAAAGGACACAGATATGTGTCAATGTCTGGCTTTTAGTTTTATTTCCCATACCTCATCATATACTATACTCTAGTCAAATTGTGCTTTGTGAACCTATATTGTTTTAGGATTTCATTTGTCATTTGTTTGATAGTTTCTCCTGTAAAAGAGATAGCCAAGATATTTCTAGGCTGACACTAAGACAACTAGAATATCAAATATTTGTTTTATCAAATATCTCCTTCACAAAGATATTGCCCAAAGATGAGACATCATTAGTGTGTGTTCATGACTACCATTTACACATAATCTTCATTCTCCTAAATTCACAAAGACTACTTCCAGAAACTCGGATTCTGTTAAAATGCAAAACACTCTAATTAAACCTGATGTGCAAAGTATCACTGAATGAATTTTCATTGTGCTATAATTCCATTATTATCTACCTGAATTAATCAGAGCTAAAACATAGGATGCCTCAACTTACTCTGAAATTTCTTAGCAATCAATGTTGCTGAAGAGAGAAACTCAGAACAGAGCATGGAAGTTTCTTTTTAAAAAAACTGAGTGAATACAAAATTGAGTTGAATGAATACATAATTTTATTTGTGGACAGATACTCCAAAACTTGAATGTATACATCTACCTCTCAGTCAAGACTTTCAGATTCCTAAATACACACTACTAACATGGTGACAGAAATTCCATCAGTGATTCAGTAGGAGAGGCAAATGTTACAGAGCTAATGAATTTTCATAAGAGTCCATCAGATAATACCAGAATGGGTTAAGTTGCTACTATTTGTCATTCCCATTAATATCATTGTCATGTGAAAGGTTGAGTTTTCAGCTATTTTTGTTCTAGATAAAATCTTTGTCATTAAAATGAGGGATGATTCTGATATTTAATATATTCCATGGCATACTCTGGCGTGATACTAATTTGGCCTTTTCAGTATTCTGCATATTAAGTGACAATCCATCCCTCCTGCATCCCCCACATAAGTGAGAACTGAAATAGAATGGACAGCCAATCAAGTCACAGAATACTGAAAGGATCAACACAGGAAAATATGTGCTGCTCTAATCAGGAGCACACATGAGGTGCTAAAATTATTTTCTCCCATACAAATGACTAAGAAACGGTGATAATGACCGTTCTTATGGGATCAGCACCACCTGAGTCTTCTTATGGGACACAATTACCAAAGCATAGCCATGCATCCTAAAAACAAAATCAAGTATTTCTTATTTTAGTCAAGAAAATAAACTAAAATTGTACTCTCACTTAACTTTTAGAACAATACATTACATCAGATCCTACAATAGGCAAATTATGTCCTTATTGAATTTTTCATAGTAATCTTCTCCATGCACACAAAATGTGTCCCAACATTGAAGAATGCCCAGAGTCACTGCAGAAAACTTATTTCAATACATACTCTATTATTTTCTTGCGAATGTTGAATTATCACTTTGGTAAGAACCGACATCAGCTGCTTGAATAATGTATTAACCCTGCTTCCAGAAGCTATTGTTTTCATCTGAGTGGGCATTTCCTTTAAGGATAAACATGGGACTTTTTTTCAAGAAAATAATATAATTTAAAGTTTAATGGAAGCCTTTGAATCTTTTTATAGCTATAATGATATAACTTAAAATTCCAAAAAGCAATGATTACACCATCACAGACTCGGTTGGTACGAACACTTGTCCAATTAAATCAATTAACCCCATCTGCTGACTAGACTAGTCTCTCTCTCTACAGTTTCTGCCACAATGCAGCCATAGAACACATGTTAAATATAAAAAGTACTAATCGTTATAAATTTTCCTGTCCTACTATGTTCAGGCATCTATGACTCTCAAGTGAAAATTGTTCCAGGTTATTACAGTTAAATCTCAGTCATTTCCATGCTCTTCTCCTGAACAGAAACTTCTAACCATTAACTGATCAACACAATTTCCTTCCTGAAGTTCATAATGGCTTAAAAGCAGTCAAGAGATACCTTAGTGCTTCCACAATATCATAATCACAAATGCCAATGATATGTCTCCATCTACTAAGTTCTGTCAATGACTAATTGTCAGTAAGATTTATTCTATATGCTGCTTTCTGTTGTCATTCTATTCTGTTTTCTCTACAGAAGTAGAATGGATTTGCAGTCTCACAAAAATATACATGTTGGTGAAATATCTACATAGGTTTGAAAAGCTCTTTGAAGAAATCCCAGGACAGAGCTTGCCAGCATTTTGTCCTAGCTAAGTTTTCACAATTTTCCCTTCATCTCACAATATACAAATGAAAGATGGGAAAAGTCAAATATGACAATGAGAGTATGACTTAGGACTACCCCTGGGGAGTGATCTAATATTGCTTTAAGGTGATTACAAGTACTAATCCCTCTAGTGTTCCATGTTAAATTCCACCGACTTTTTTCTAATTTGATGACTTGCTAATGTAAACTTCTATCTAGAATAATCAAATAGTATGTCATTTATTCAAATTCACTGTGGCTCTAAGGTGCATGCAAACTCCCTCATCAAAACAGACAACTCAAAAGATGTTCACTGAAGTTGGGATTTCTACTGCTTAAATTAGCACCAAGAGTCACCTTTCTAGAAATAAGAACAATAAAACAATCTATAATCTTGCTTCCCCATACAGAGGACAACCTGGGCCACACATTTATGAGCATTAATATCTCATAGGCATCAGACAGCTCTTGGAGGTATCCAGATTTTAGCAACCTGTCACCTCCAAATGCAATCAACTGGTAAATACATGCTCACCAATCTCCCTTGAGATCTGGGTAAAGGCCTCAACACCACTCTCTCCATAGTTCCCTTCGGAAGCCAATGTTGACACATAATTCCATCCTAGGGCCGTCACAATGTCCACCATGGCTTGGGCTTGGTAGGAGTCAGGCGGGACCACCCGAGAAAAAAAGTCATACCTGGTGTTGTCACTCAGCTCTGGGGCTGTGGATGCATAGCTAATTTGAGGTATCTGCAAAACAAATGAGAGGGCATTACAATCCATGGTGTGTCTTGTACAATGCTAGATTGTTGCAAGAGAATAAACAGTCAAAGCTGTAACAGAAACCTAGATGTGTCAGCCTGAAGGGAAAATATGGTTTTAGGGCCGCCAATTTAATTAGAAATAATTTCCTAACACTCCACGGGCTTCACTTTCTTTAGAAGCACAGATGCATAAACATTGAGAAACAATTTAGTTTTGCTTCAAGTTCCTTTGTGTTGAAGGCCAAAGGAAAACATTTAGTGCTTTTTGTTACTGCTTTTTTATTCTGTATGTGATTGTTCTGGTGTGGAAATGAAAGAAAGGAAGCCATAGTACAAACATACATCAGAGAAGGTCACCTCAGAAATGCTCTTTGGTTTTCACACATAAAAGGTATGTGGTAATTTAACATGAGGGACTTTTGTTGTTATTGTTTTGCTTTTTGTTTTGTTTGTTTATGTTTCAACACTTGATACCACTTACATTTTAAATTTATAGTTCTGATTATTTTATTTTATTTTTGTTTTTTGATGCAGGGTCTCACGACACAGTCCTGGCTATCCTAGACCCACTTATGTAGCTCAGGCTAGAGATACAGGCTAGATCTCTTGAACCCATAGAGATCTCTGTCTCTGTCTCACAAGTGCTAGGATTAAAGGCGTGTGCCACCATACCTAGCCATAAATTATTTTTAAGTGCATACTTTTTCTATTCTCCTCACTGATTATTGGTATAGTCTTTGAATAACACGGGAATATTTGTAACTAGTGAACTGTGTATCTTCTAATAAAAACATATTTCCAGATCATTAAAAATCGTCACCTAGAAAAAGCATGTGGATCACAAATTCCTTAGGAAAAGAGAATGTTTTCTGATACCAACAGGATAGATGCCGTGGAGTTTTTAAAATTGAGAATCCTATGTCATTTCTCAAAAATCTGAGAGTGTGCACTGTGTGCCTGGCATCTTATCACTCTTCAGTCACCATCATGGGGTGTGGGCATAACATGAGAGGCCAAAATGACTCCAAGATACCCTAACTCAGGTGTTTTCTTAACAATACAGCTTAACTAATACATAGAACAATTTTGTTCACCATGAGACTCTACAGATAACAAAATGTCTATGCCAGCACCCCCAATACTTCATGCCCTCAAATTAAATCCCTAGTGGCAACTGACGTGAGAGTTTGCTGAAGTCTTAGGCTGAAAGGGGATGTCAGAGAGTTATTCTGGCTTGCCATAAAAGGTGGTGGATCCCAGGATCTAATGGTCACTCAGCAGTCTCTAACTAGTTGGCTTCCAACCCATTCTTAACATGTTTGAAGGTCACTCAACATCTGGATAACCACTCTAAGTTTACAGAATCCTGCTCCATATTAGTGCCCAGTGAAGTGACAACAAGATACAAATAAAAGGTTTACTCACTTGCAGTGAGCTGCCACTAGCAGCTCACTGACTTCAGACTAACAGCTGGAGAACCTGCATGGGACAGAACTGGGTCCCCTGAATGTGGGTGACAGCTGGGGGCATTAAACAGTTTATGGGACTGCTGGCAGTGGAACCACTATTTGTCCCTAGTGCATGAAGACTTTTTGGAGCCAATTTTCCCTATGGAGTGATACCTTGCTCTGCCTGGAGGCAGGCCCTGGTCCTGCCACAAATGATGTGAAAGACGTTGATGATTCTCCACGGGAAGCCTCATCCTCTCTGAGGAGTGGATGGGGAGGGGTGAGGAAATCGAACTGGGACTGGTATGTAAAATAAGATTGTTTGAAAAAATAATAAAAATAAATATAAGATAGGAAAAAGAAGCTATACTCAGACTCAGAAGCAAAATGATGTGCCAGGAGCTGTCCAGGTTCTGAAAGCTGTTCAGCATCTGCTCAACATGGCTCCAACTTTCTACCTATTTCGGCAGCGGCAGTGACTGCTCAGGTCAGCTATTTACTAAATTCTCCCTGGTTTCTTTTCCTGGTGGGGATCACTTACTTTACATGGCATGACCATAAAAACTGTCCGAGCCTCCTCCTGGTTCCCTTTGCTTTCTCTTCTAGACATACTAACCCTGTCTTGACAGACAGATGTCTTGATTGGGCCCTGTGCCTTTGTGGTATGTGACACTTCTCTAAATCTCAAAGCACAACAACCCTAGCCATCTTCACTTTTTTTCTTGCTTCTAGAAAATCCAAAGAAGAGATCCTGAACTCTCAGTGAGCTCTCCCTATGTCCTGTACTAGATAAAAAATTTCCCCCAAACCAACCCCATATGCATTTGTATATTCTAATAAAAGTGATTCTGAAGATTAATACTGAGGGGGAGAAGAAGACACACGCCTCCTCCCTCCCAGAGCTCTCCATGCCCAACACTGTTGAGACTGAGCACAAGCCCTGCACCTCACCTGAGCCACCCAGAGAATATGATCTGGCCCTGTCCCTGGTCTGCCATATGGTGGCATGAGTGAGGGAAAGGACACCTACCCCCCTCCCTCTACACTTGTGGCAGGTGGGAAAGCTGGCCCTGAAGTCACAGGAGTGAAAGAGCTGGCCCTGCCTCTCACCAGCTGCAGCACCTTTGATTGATTCCTGTTGCACCTTTCATAGGCAATACAATAAAGCTGGCCCTAGTGGTGTAGGTGTGCATGAGTGAGCCCTGCAGGCATGAAAGTGGGAGAACCAGCCCTACCTCTTGCTGCTTACTGACAAGGGTGAGCTAGCCTGAGCAGTGCTGGAGAGCTCACCCTAGTGGTGAGGATGAGGACAAGCTGTGGGCTGTCCAACTCAGCAACCACCCAGACCCATGGCCATGAGTTGTCCCATCTCAACATCCACCTATGACCTGCTAGAACACGTGAAGGGCCCCGTTCTGCAGACCCAAAGCTGCAGGATCTCCATGATACATGACAACAACAGGCTATCCAAGAGGAGTCCCAGTGAGGGCCCATTAACAATACTGAGGCAGAAACCAGAGCCCTGGAACCAGACTAATGACTTATTGCAATGAACACTTGCAAGTAAAGACGTGTGGACTAAAGGGTATACTGTGCAACACACTACAGCTTTTGTAGCAAGATTGTTCTTCCTTTTTCTTTCCTTTGAAATTTTGTTTTGTTTTATCTTGGGGAGGTTGCAAAGGCAGAGAGCAGATTCAAAGGGATGGAGAGATGAGTGAGATCAAGACGCATGATGCAAAATCCACAAAGAATAAATAAAAAGCTATATTAGAAAAAAAGATTCA